TGGGGGCCAAACAGGGGCACAATGACAAACAACATATCAATTTCATTTTTTATTGTTTATAAATTACCAAAAGAAAATAATGTATGCCAATCAAGTGGCGTCTGACATTAAGACTATAAATAGATCATTATTATCAATCTTGTCAAAAATTATTACTGATTTTAAGAAATTTCAATATCTACTCGTAAACGAAGAATATTTACTGAAGAAAATTTACTTTTATTACATTCACCAAAAAAAAAAAAAAAAGAGAGAGAGAGAGAGAAAGAAGAAGCAAAGTCGGTACTAAATACTAATCTTATTTTTAGTGGAAATTACACAGATGCAGGGGTTTAAAGATACAAATTCTAAAATCATGGACAAGGTTTAATTAAGCCAAAAAAACAAGATTTATCAATATAATAATTAAATATTAATATTCCCCCCAATTACTCCAAAACCTAATAATTTTTTCTCTCTTGTTACGTCCTCTCCCGTTCTCCATCATAGATCGCTAGCCAGCACTCTAAAAACGGTCTGAAGATATGGTGTGGTGGCGGTATGGTGTGTTGTGTGGTGAGTCTGTCTTGTGTGGTGGGGCCTCGTCGGGTCAGGTGTGGTGGTGGAGTTTCGATTTTCAGCAGTGGATATGGTGAAACAACGGCTGTTTTGCTTTTCTTCCATCGATATGTATGGGCTCTTCGATCTCACCGTCGACTGCTTTTGCTCATTTCGACAATTCCATGGCACTCACTCAGTGAGCTGCACTGTGCAAATCCATGCTTCCTCTTTTTTTTTTTTTTTTTTGAATGTTGTGGTGAATGACGTTAGATGGTGGTGTGCGGTATGGTATTGGACTGGTGGTACTATAGGGCGGTGGTGTTGCGGTGGTTGGGTGAGTGGATCTGTCTGTCGTGGTGTATTGTTTGTTGGTCATGGTGGTTGCAGATTGTGTAGTTATTCAGGTGGCGGCGAGACAGTAGTTGTTTGGCATCTGTGACCCGCTATTTGGTTCCTGTGACGGACTCTTGAACTGTGACCTTAAGGCAATGCGATGGTTTTGTTGAACCAGTGGTGGTTGCAATTTTTGTTGGCAGCGGCGGCAAGGTGGATCTGACAGTTTGGGTGATTTTTGTTGAATTTGGCGGTAGATCTGGCAGTTGTAGTTCGACAGTGGCAATGGTGGTTTGTAGTTGAAAATTGTGATTTGTTGGTCGTTGTGGTGGTTATAAGATTGAATATGGAAATTTGTTGGAAACGGTGATGGTGGTGGTAAGGTGGCGTTGCCGCTATACCACATTCATCGTCGAAAGTAAAATGGAGTGAAATGGCCGGTGGTGGTGGTGAGTCTGTGTTGCTGACAGTGGGCTGTGTTGGTGATGATGACACTATTAAGCTGTGATTAGGGTGGTCGTCTTAAGTGACTGTGGTGGCAGTGGCATGTGACCAACTATTCGATTATCTATGATTTAAAAATTCAATAATTTGTAATTAAAAAATAATTTGTGACCAACTAATTTGAAAATTTGTTATTGACAAATAAATTGTGGCTTATAAATTTTTTAATTTGTGACTTATAAATTTTCTTTTTTTCATATGTGACCTTGTGATTTGTAATTTTTTTGATCTGTGACCAATGAAATAATTTGTGACATATAATTTTTTTATCTGTGACTTCGAAATAATCCGTGACCTATCAAATTTTTTATTTGTGACCTCGAAATAATCTGTAACCAATTAATTCAATGATATGTGACCAATAAGTAAATCTGTTACCATTAATCGTATAATTGTGACTTTATTATATTTAATTAATAAATATTTTAAATTAATTATGTAGAAACCTGAATTTTGAATTTTGAAACTTTATACCTCATTTGTGAATTGGTGTAAATAATACACCTTACTTATGAATTTTTCCCTTATTTTTATCCATCTACTCTAAATCAATTAAGAGTCACTTTGAGTCCCTTTTTTTACCAAAAATGCATTTAGGAATAATATTTTGACGGAGAATGTATTGTTAAAAAATAATGAAGAACTTTGAATGTGCGAATAATATTATTTTGGTAATTAGCACATAACGTCCCTACCTTCTACTATCATTGTGGAAAACGGTCCTGTATTCCATTTTTGATATTTTTATTCTTAACCACACATTTGATTGTGGAAAAGATCATTTTTACCCATTTTCATCCAATTTCTCTATTAAGTGAAGTATATTCTCATCATTTTCCTATTTCTTCATTTTCTCCTCCATTTCTTTCTCTGAAAACTAACATTTAGCTATGAACACCCCAGAAAAAATTGAGGATGTCGATAAGATAAAGGAAGAAAGCAACTTGTTGTTCAAGGGCGGGAAATATGTTAGAGCTCAAAGAGATATGAAACTGTAATAATTTCCAATTCTATCTCCATTTGATTCGATAGCAAAGTACTATTTGCTGTGTATCTTTAAGTAATGCGCTTCACGTCGGGGATTTTGAACCCATGCTACCAAGTGCATTGAGTATGACACATATTTCAACGAGGAAAAGAAACAGTTTAAAGGCCTGAAGAACACTTGCAACCTAAACAATGAAGCTTGCAAATTGAGACTAAAATATTATAAGCAAACATAGAAACTATATACAGAGGTTTGCTTAACTAGATGATAGGTTTCTTTTAATTGCCTTTTCAAATCATAGATTTCATTTGTTTTAATGAGGAAGGTGTTTCGCGCGGGTTAGTCGCTAACAATTAAAAAGGATCAGACGATTGTGTAAGGGACGAAACCTCTTAAGACAAAGTCCCAAAAAGGGGTTTTTTTTATTGGCGATGAACTTTACAATTGGAAATGGAAAACAACGTGCCTCCAAGGGGAGCAAGCACACGAGTTACTGAAAGAAAATTGTTTAAGTCTGAAAAACTAAGGAAATGAAAATTACATGTTCTCTGTTCGAGAGTTTTGGATTCGGTCCTTTGCTTCTATGTCCTTTCTCCCTTTTATACTTCATAGACGATCTCTTTGTGATTAACTACTCTAAAAACTGTTTGATCGTCCTATAACCACCCACTTTCTTCGTAGTGGCCATTTTGTCATGAAAACTGCCTTTTAACTGCTGCCATTACCTTTCATCGTTCAACCGCTTTCGATTGAATTCCTTGTATCGTGGAACGTGATAGGGCTGCTTTAACAACTGCTTTGATAACTACATTTCTTGATAACCACGACGCGTTATGTTTGTTGATACCTTGGGCGACTTGAAGGTTTGGGCGAGAATAGAGTAACAG